GCGAGGCAGGCAGGGCAGGCGAGGCAGGCAGGGCAGGCAGGGTCGGCAAGACAGCAGGGCAGGATGGAGCAGGCAACGGAAACGGGGAAGACAAAAGATGGCGAAACGCCCGGTAAGGTTACAAAACATTGGCAACAATACTTCGCAAAGATCGAGAAGTAATGTCCGCTTTATGAAGCGACGATATCAGTATGGAATAGCCCTCAGCTGTTCCATCCCACCCGTGTGGGCGTGACACTTGATTTATTCCTCGTCGAAAATGTCAGTACATTTCATTTTTGGCATCATATATTAATTGTATCTTTATCATCATCTTGTTTTCATCAATAAAAATTACAGTAGCCATTACCATTTTCGTCAATAAAATGAACCCTGGTTTAGTGGCTACATGGGGCCAATTTGGGATCCTTTTAAATAATACAACAAACTTTCAAAAAGTTTGAAGGGGAGTTAGAAAATCCCAAAGGCACCCAACACTGAGAATGATATGACCCAATGCAATGGTGTTTGTGTGGTATGACCTGACAATGATGCTATTCAGTTGGGTACCGGTAAATTTGGACCTCATTCATGTGGGTAATTTTATCAGTCTCAGAAATGAGAGACAGAACCATAACTCCAGGCTATCCTGTCATATTGACACTATTCATGACTTCAGTGACACTGATTTATGTGATTTTCAAACAAGAGTCCATTGGCAAATTATGGCCTTTTGCAGGACATATACTGTGTTCAGTTGCACATTACAAACTGATATGGTGACTGCACTTTAAGTTTTGAAATTTTGAAAGTTTTGAATGTTTCAGAAAATGTGCTTAAACAATTGAGTGCAAGCTGTAATGCAGTTGCATAAAACACATTAAGAGGACTGCCAACCCTTCTAGGCCAAAACAATTATGAAATTTTACATTTGCTGGACTGCATATCCACCAGCTTCCACTAAGTGTCACTCAAGAGCTGGTAATTGACCTTTTTGGACCTATGGGGCTGTATCTGCCTCTGCATGTTCACCTTCTTGTAAAACGAAAAAGTGACAAATCTAGAATCTAGAGCACTTTTACTGAGACCACAGGTCACATGATCAGTTATGTGTATCACACACACACACACACACACACACACACACACACACACATACACACACACATATTTGTAATTATATCTTTGTTGGGACACGCCATTCATTTCTATGGGGAAAACTCTAAATACAGGACTTTGGGGATTTTTACTTTTTGGATTGCATTCACAGATCTTTGTGGGGACCTGAAAATGGTCCCTACAATGTCAAAATAACAGGTTTAAATAGTTTACATTGGTCCCCAAAATGTAATATAAACCTAATACACACACACAGCTCTGTAACATATTAAGAGACCAATATATTTTTAAAAAATCTGCATTTTCAAATCCAGGTTTAATCCTGGTTCTGCCGGCAAAAGGGTACACCATGGAGTTTGCAAAAAAATGTATATTTTACACAGGAGCATACCAATAGATTGAGAAATCAGTGAAACTGAATATTTTGCAGTGGTTTCTTAATTTTTTTTTTTTACAAAGCTGTAGATAGATCCTGTAACGCCAGAGCTGGAAAGAATCTAAGCAGGAGCCCGAACAAGCAACTGAATAAGAAACAAAAATCAACAAAGTTCAGAAGAAACAGATCAAAGGAAAGAGGAAGTGTTGTAGCACAGATATCAGCACAGGGTAAGAGTCAGAAAGATGCAGGCTGAGAGAAAGCGATAAAGAGGGATAAAAATGGATCAGAGAAGGAGAAATGCTCAGATGCTGATGGAAATTCACTGTTAAAGTTGCCCAGCCCCGAAATGGCAGGAAAATTGAGTTCTATTGTACTGTATGATATATTTCCTCCCTAATGTCAAGAAGACAAGCATTTTATTTGTTTTTATTCCTATTTTCAGAACTCATATAATCTGACTTCTAACCTATTGCATATGACAACTGAGTCAAATTAATCTGGCTAACATCCTCCACAGGAACAAACGTTCCTGCAAACGTTCTCCACAGGAAATCACCTCTTACGTCGTATTCCAGTCTCCTGTCGTCATGGTGACAGGCTTCCTCCACTGTGGTGCCAAACTGAAAAATGTAGTTATTTTTAAAATAAATTTATTGAAATTACTAATTATGCGGAAAGCCAAAACAATCTGTAATATATTCAGTAATTCACATCAGAAACACCTAGTTTAGTCACGCAATAATATAAATGTTATAGAGCAAAATTATATGTATAAAGAATATATTTGCAGAATATACAAAACAGCACATATTTTAAATGAAATGTAATACCCATGTATTTTTATGGCTAGCATATTTAAAACATTGAGATAAAGTATTTAAAATATTATTTAAATATATATTAGAGATTGCTATATCCACAGAAAATTAATTTCATATTTTCAAGAAATGAATTTTGTGCATAACATGCAATGGAAATTTATTCAAAGTTAGAAGGTGCTTGTAATATAGAGTGGTTCCTCGTTTTTGTATATATGCTTTGACTTATATTACATTTTGATAGTTTCCCCCTTTGCTTCGCTCGTCTCCTCCTCCGCGCCTCAGCACTCAATCTGCACCTAAATTTAAACCAATAGCCTTGGTCCCACAGGTCTAAAATTAGCCATGATGACATGTGTGAGGAGACGAGAGCAGCCAGTCCTGATATCCGGGGTGTTAACCTATGGAGTCCCGGGCACAGCTACCAAAGCAGCCAAAAATGCATCACTGTGATCCCCATTGTCCTTGTTGCTTCATTACTTCACTCAGGTGAACATTAATGATGAGATGTTTCTTTTATTCATTATTCTTATATATGCAACATACACTGTATATGCCAGCCACTATTACTCTGCTTTTTTATTCAACACAATGTCTGAATAAATATTATTATATGAAGACCGATTTGATAATACTTTATCGTCTGCTTTTACAAGCACTAATATATAGGAAATCCTTGGTTTTTGCATATTTTTCTTGCAGTCCAACAAGAAATTCCGAGGTCAGAGCAAAGCTTGGTGTCAGAGCACAGGGTCAGGCAGGTGCTATGGCCTTTGATCAAGGGCCCGACAGATTTGTCCGTCAACTATGGGATTCAAACCCATGACCTTAGAGACACTGGCAGAGAGTCGGAACCTGCCCTGATTTGGTTATCAATGCACTGTCAATAAATGAGTTCAGACTCCAAAAACATGCCTTGTTTTTGTGTTTAAGAATACTCACCGGAAAGTATTCTCTTTCAGTTAATTAATTGTAGTTTATAAAGTTACAAGTATTATATATCCAGTTGTTGCCAGTTACAAAATAAATAAGCAGTGTGTTCATTTGCAAATCCATGAATATGTGGAAAAGTTGCCAATATAAGAGAAACTTGCAGTGGAGGTGGAGATGAACCAGAAACCCATTAAGAAGTAGTGACATTCAAACCATTTATAAATAAATTAATGCCTTTTTTGTGTCCATACAAAAGGTCATGGTGAATATTGACAGTATCTAAATTACTTTCTGTAAAACTGTAATTAATATAAAAGAAAAAAAACATCTTCAGCATTAATAAGCCAAGTCTTCGGGAAAATTGTCTTGCAGAGTGTCCTATCTTTACATAAACCTTGGTGAGTAGGCTATAGGAAAAGTATCCATTGTAAAAACACATTAAGGCATACACACAGACCAGGTTCACAATGGACGGACTCTACACCGCAGTCAAAGCAGCAGATTAGTCATCAGAAATCTCAACTGTGAAAAGTACAAACACAGGGAAAACAAAGAACACGCGACATTATCTCTAACGTGACACACGAAGCTTAGACACTACTGATGGCCTGCGGTGTTGTCACTATTAATCTATCAGGTGTTAACCTTTCACTACTTTAACATTTTCTGGCAAAAAGCACCTCACAGATAAAACGGACACTTCCCTCGTAAAGATCATATTCTGTCCTGTTCAGCGTCGTGTAAGGAAAAGTCGTGTAAGATGACAGCCTTTGCTAAAAGCGCAAGCGCAAGATTAATTTCAAACATCTGATACTCCTTCAAAATTTTCCACCCCTGGTGCTGCGATCAGCTGGTTCACAAAAACTGTTTTAGAATAAAACGCTTCACAGCCGATGCGGTGATATTCATTATTATTAACGGAACAGCGTCCCACCAAGGCATCCCACCTCTGTGCTTTTTTTCACTCTGTGAACTCGCAGGTCGTAAATAAGCAACCTAAAGTTTCTCAGTTTTGCTGTCATGCATATGTAGCATAGTACACTTTTATGTATACACTGAAATTGGTGTTGTTTTAGACAGCGATTAGGAACGTCCAGCTCACCTTAAACGGCTTCGAAATTGAAACTTGGGGGTGAATGATCCCGCCTTCTCCCAGGGAAGGTTTCCATGCCTTATACCTTTATACCATCTGTCTCCGTTTAAATGTATAGTTCTAATCTTTGTAATTAACTGGTGCAAATGCACGGCTTCAAAATGTAACATTTACTGGCAAATAATCGTTATATCTCGTGATGAAAACTCTAATACACCCCAAACAATTAATTCATTTTTCTTCCATTAATCTAATGCACATTTGCTGTATGATTTTGCGAAGTGTGATTAAACACAAAACGCCTTTAAACAATTAACCCAAATGCAACCAAGTCTGTAAAAATAAAAATAAAAGAGTAATGCGACCTTGGGCTGATGAGCGTCCAATAACCTTATTATAATGATGACTAGACAAAACAAGGGTTGGTATTTCCACGATAAATAAAAAGTAGTATTAGCTCAGACTTGCTGTGCATGTCTCTAATTCTCCTTCCAAAGCTACGCATATCATGTGCAAGGTTGGGGCGACAAAGATACTAAACGGGGCAAACTCAATGACAAAGACATATCCTTCCGGTAAAGCGTTAAATTGATTAAGGAGTTCAAAGTGAAGAATGTCGAGAGAGATGGGGGACCAGCGAAGGCTGGGTTGACGGTAGGAGGGGCAAATCTATAGCCTTATATCTTGCATGACCAACTCAGTGACCCTCATTTAATTTCCATCCCATCCCGGTGGCCGGTGTCCATCGACATCCACGCTGCATAGATAGCAGCTGTCAGCTGACCGCGTGAGTTGCAAAGTGATCGGTAAGGATTTGGCACATCTGCTGGGTGTCAGACATAGCGTGAATTTCTTGTGTGGTACAGATTGCATGGTATTAATGGATAGAAATGCATTGTCTCTATATGTCGTAGCCAGAACTGGAATTTAAGATCACCCACTCGGTTGAGACGAGTAATTCAGACTGAGGGCAAGCACAAATACATTTACGGCACTTGGCAGACGCCCTGAGCCAGAACTACTTACGTAAGTGCTTAGAAGTCTCATCAATACATACATTCTGAAATACATGAACACTAGAACCCTGGCTTGTAAAAAAAATGCATGTCGTACTGCACTTTTTACTGAATTAGTCTGGCTGGCAAGTAGCAGAAATTCTTAAGTTCCACATCTGGTTGTAGAGGTCTTTTGAGAGGCACTTTTGTGTGAGAAGTGCTTAACTAAATTTAGCGGCGGTTTTGTCGCTTATGTCCGGCGCTGATTACAATTCATACACTAATTATTTTCATCACATCGCATTTCGCCTTGGAAATTCCAGTCCTAAGAGAAGCCATAGTGGTCAAAATAATTATCATTTTTGTGGGTGATATTCAGACAAATATAAAATTAGTTGCATGTTACAATACCTGCAAAGATTCAAAATACTGCAACTATCTTAGATTACCTGAACTGTGTTGGTAACTGTTTGTATTTAATAAGTACACTCTAAGAAAAAAGGGTAAAAAATGTACTTTTGCATGTCACTGGGGCTGTACCTTCGAGGGTCTGCCAATTGTACCCTTAGCTTTAGCTAATTGCGCCTTTTAAAGTACAGAAATGGACTCTGAGGAACATTTATGTACCATTGATCGTATACTAATGCTTTTTGTATCTTTGGGATGTTCATCAGAGTCCATTTCTGTACCTCATAAAGTTCATTTACAAGGGTACAGCCCAGCAGTGACTTTAATTCTGAGAGTGTAGGTCACTTAAGAGTACACATAAGAACTATACAAATGAGAGGAGGCCATTCGGCCCATCGAGCTCGCTTGGGGAGAACTTAACTAATAGCTCAGAGTTGTTAAAATCTTATCTAGC